TTTTGCTCTTTAGTGTATATATAAAATATATATAAATGTATATATCATATTCAGGTCCCACAAATTTACCAACATTCACGCAAAATACCTCATCAAAAAAGGGTAAAAGCTCAAAAACTTATTTCATTTAAGTAAATAATTTAAATTTTAATCTCATGGTTTTATGTTCGCTAAAGTAGTAAAAAGAGGAAAATGTTAGCGAAGCTCATGTGTATTTACATACTATAAAATGGTCCAGCTTTTGGGAAACGCCCATTAAAGGCACTATGAAAGTTAAAGACTTGGAGTGTGAAATATATGAATGTGTATAAATAAATTATCAGCTTTGTAAGAGGTGTGTTCAACAGTTTTACAGCTAGAAATCTGGAGTTAATAATTAGCTCTTCAACAGTTACACCCACACCAAGTTTATTATATAATAATAAACACACCCTGTGGAAATTTTGTAAACCAATTTGACGAATATTGTATCTTGAAAGAGTATACTGCAGTCTGTTCCGCCCGATTGCAACATGCCATGTCTGTCCATGGGCAAAAAATACTCACAATATATTTATATGTATATATCAATGAATTGATATGTTCTACAATTTTTATATTTATAAGATGACCAAATTTGGAAAGAAAATAGGTAAAAAGCTTTACTGCAAATGCTGTGCCAAATATAGATTGTGGAAATTGAAATTGAAACGAAAATCGAGGGTATATTTTAATAACTTTTGGCTGGCTGCCGATTCCGAAATTGTGAACGTGTATTATACCGTCAGTAGCTGCCGATGGGCATGTTATTGTTTTATTTATTTAATTTTTTTTTTTTTTATAAATAAATATTAATATAGAGGAACAGGAAAGATAAATATATATTTTAAGTTACATAAAAAACATATATAACAGCTCTCAAATCTAAGTTTCCTGTTCTTAAGTGCTCTGAGATAGTTGGGATCATAGCAACAAATGTCTAGAGCATAGATCAATTTCGTTCGTCATCCGGTTCAAAAATATAAATACTTATGTACATATACAGTTTTTTTTCTTGGATCTATCACGCCTCTTTCTGCTTAGTTACATAACTATTAGGGAATCTGTACTTCCATTTTCAATGGGTATTCTAAAGAAGTCATGCATATGTATGTATATACACATATATTATAATAGATACATACACATTTAAATCTTATTCAAGTCTTCACTCTTCTAAATAGTTTTTGTTTTTGGTTTTTTGACATCTTTTCGAACTACTTTTTTATTTAAATTGTTTAGAGCTAGTTTAAATGTTTATTTTATTTCTATTTCACTTTTTTTTTTTTTTTT